GGATGGATGGATGGATGGATGGATGGATGGATGGATGGATGGATGGATGGATGGATGGACCCTGAGCACAACCAACAGCAAAGCCTGTTGGTTTTATTTTGGTTTTATTTGTGTCAAACCGTTAGCGAGGGTTCCAACATTTTAAACTTTCCTCCTGATATATTTGCACAACACTCTATTATTTATTTTCTATTTAGGTTTATTGGTTTGCTTTTTTATTTTTACTTTGAACATTTTCTAAGGGCATGACTGCTGATTGTGTTCCTGTTGTAATAACACAATCTGACCAGAAGAGGGCAGCAGATTTTACTTCTTTAAGTGAGGATTAAAACACTTTCTTTACTTTTACACCAAGAAGTTTGAAAACAATTCAAATATATTAAAACATGCGATGTTCATTTACACAGAACCTCACCTGAGAATTTCTAAAATACCCTTTAAGGTTCTTTAATTGCAGATTCCTGCACTTCCTGATTCGTGAAGACATTTTAGKTTTCCTCCAAAGTTTCTGTTTCAAACAATGTTGGGACATCATCAACACTTGAATCCACCCACCCATCCTGTCAGCAGTTTCTGTCACAGTTTACCACCAGAAACATGTGACGTCTCTGTCACGTGGTTCATGCTGCTAATTGTGGAGAAACTGCCTGAGGAGGAAAGGCAGGTCTGCATTGTAAAAGTGAACACCTGAAGCCCCTTGTTGGGTTTTTCTAGTTTGACAGAGATCTCTTCCTTTATCCCCCTCTGTCCAAACATGTTCATTTTTTAAGTGTCCTCTGTGACACACGTGGACATTTGCACTTTGACACAGGTCCTATTTTTTTCTYTAACAGAACAACAGAACAACAATAATACAACTCTGGGTAAAAAAATAAAACTACAAGCTACATGTTAGGGGGCCAGCTRAAGGATATTACAGAAAAAAAACCCAACTGAGCAAAATGATACAGTGAGAAAGATAAAACAGTAAATATGTAGAGATGTGAGATGATCTTGGCTGATTTCCAGTTTTTTAATGTACTTAATGAAGAAAAGTATACTTTAAATTCGTTCATAAAACAGGGGAAGGAGGGCTTGGTATCTCTCCACTTGCTACAGTGAATATGGTATTTTGCTAAAAGTATGACTACATTTATGGCATCAGAGAAGGAAGAACTTAAATTATCCACATAAAACAAAATGTCCACATCAAAAGAGGGAAAGTTAAGTTTAAGATTTGTCCAGTTCCTAATTTCTGACCAAAAGCTTTGTGAATAATGACAGGATAAAAACAAATGGATTCATCTTCTGACTTACAAAAAATACACAAATCCAGATCAAATTTAAATCTTCTTTCAAGAAACAAGGCTACAGGATATACCCTATTAATTATTTTAAAATGTGTTTCCTTCACTTTAGGAGATAAAAGCCATTTTGTAAATTTGGAATGAGCAAAAGTCATTATGGTTTTATTACTGGTGTTAAAAGGTTTCTTGAAGGAATCTGCATTATAGTCATAGTAAATCTTTTGTCTTATAGTTTCATTAATCATCCTATTGTTGCATTTGTAATCCATCGAGTTATCATTCACCTTTAGTGTGGGCATCAAAGCTGTCACCTTTGCATATAAAACAACATTTTTGATTAGCTGGATCAAAGCCAAGGGGATTGCTTTACACACCTTCTTAAAATCTTTGTAACAATTAAAATGATGTTTTTCAACAAAGGATGGGAAACTCAAAAGATCACCATCATCATCTAAAAGATCTCTTACAAAGATAATATCCTTATCATACTAATATTTTAAGAAGTGTCTTCCTACCAACTGTAACTGTCCTATTATTCCACAGAGTTGATCCGTGGGCTGAGAAATTATGTTGAAATACCATCTTCCAAAAGTGAAGAATTTGTTTGTGAAAGTTAGACAATTTAACTGGAATCTTACCAACCTCAAAGTCACACTTCATAAAAAAAAMAAAAMAAAAAAAAAAAAAAAAAAAACAATTCCCCCCATCTTCTTAAAAATAGAAGCAGGGATATGAAACCACATTGAATCATGTTGTAAAATAAAGGTTTTTTAACCATTTGATCTTGTGTCCCAATCATGGCTTCAAAATCCAGTGCATTTACGCCACCCTTTTCATATTTCTTAACTGAGACCTTTTGATATAATGAGTCTTGTTTTTCCATAAAAACTGAAAAAATAATAGAATTAGCTTTTTTATATTTTGAGGTGATGTTTACATAGAATGACATGTATGGAGATGCTTTTTGTTTGATTGAATAATAAAAACACAAATCTACCTCCATAGTCATGGATAAACAACCTTGGAAATGCCATCTGCTTTAGTCAGCGGGGCGTTTCATCGTGAGAGCTGAACTGACATAACCTCTGACCTTTAAGAAAGTTTAAAAACATCTTGCAAAATGATTAATTCTTGCTCAAAAATTTCTAAAGTCACCCAGCAACAGTGATTTATTATTATGGTATGTTAACCTAATGTACAGTAGATATCTTTTGAATCAAGCAATCACATTTGTGCACTTCAGTGATCAGAAATATTTGAAATTATTTTTTGGTTCTTACACAAAGAAAGTACATTTTACAGAAAACTTATTAAAATCTTAACAACTGCAGGGCCTATAAGAAAATAAAGACAAGTTAATATTTCCTGCCTTTAAAATGAACTGGGTTCTGTGAAAAGATGAACAATTATCTCACTTTTTGTAGCTGTTTAAATGTCCTCATTTTGAAAAACCAGTTAACACATGACTGATGGGCTAAAGGCTAGTCTGAAACCAAAATGCACTGATGCACTAAAACTTCATAAATACTCATTTTAAACTTTTAAATTGTGATCAGTTACTCACATAAGATTAACTAGAGAATTTGCATTTCCTGTGAAAATGCAGTGAATGCTTAAGGCTGAAATATTTGTGCTGAAAAGCTAAAATTGCTGAAACTAGTCTTAAAATAGCTTAAAATGTAGCTGAAACAGAAAGCACACGTTTGCTGAATTAAGCAGAAAAAAGCTAAAATTATTATGAAAAGGTGATTTTGAAAAAAACAAAAACTAAAATGATCTAAAAAGTAGATAAAACACTGAAAACAGCTGAAATTAGCAGAAAGCACAAAGAATAGAAGAATAGCTAAAATAGCAGAAAAAAGCTAAAATTATTATGAAAAGGTGATTTTGAAAAAAACAAAAACTAAAATGATCTAAAAAGTAGATAAAACACTGAAAACAGCTGAAATTAGCAGAAAGCACAAAAAAGTTGAAAATAGCAGAAAAGGTCAGAATAATAATTAACAAAACAGAAGCAAAAATTATTACAAAGTTATAAAAACCGAGCACAAACAAAAGGTAAAAAGTAAAGATTTATACAGTAAATATTTTTTCTAAGGGTTTTAATGAGGTTGAAGATGGCTCCATTCATTTTCAATGAGGAAAAACATGGTCAAAAATGCTATATAACCCAAGTATGATATGCTGAAATACCAAAAATTATAGCCAGAATGTCCTGAAGGAGCTGAGTGTTCTCATATATAAATTGTTAATATGGCACAAAAATTGTGCAACGAGTTAGGTGCCAAAAMACATACGGAAGAAAATTTGATTTCWATTTAGTTACATGAATTTTATTTTCAAGACGAGTACTATATTTCTGCTAAAATAACTGAGGAAAATAAAATCCACAACTTTGAAATATTTGAAAAAAAAATGGTATATATGAAATAAAATTTTGAGACAAAATGTGACATAGGTGCAGTCCAAGTTTGTCCTGATAACATCAAACGTTTCTCTTTGTGTCTCAGAGATGGATGCTGTGAAGCTACTGAACTTTTCAATTTCACCTTTGAACACGATGGACATTCTTCTTAAAACAGTCAGATGGGTGTCTACAACACTAAATACCATACCATAAATAAATAAAAATGCAAATACATAAATAAATCTGCAACTTTTGGACCTTTTTTCCTGTTACCAAGGAGTTTATGCAAACATATTCAGTGTGAATTTAAGAGCAATTTTGTTTTCAACTACATATCCCTAATAATTATTGTTAGTGGCTTTCATCACCCTTAAAGAGCTAAATTCATAACAAAAAATAAAAATCAAAACAATCTCTACTATTTCATTTGAAAATGCTTTATTTCACTTTTCCAGCCATCCAAACACAACCAAAGACAGATTACAGGTTGATAAATGTAGGCACAAAGAGCTGCAGGGTCTCTGGGTAAGAAGAGGCACAGATTTACCAGAAAAATAATTTTAGCTTTTTTTTTTCCCAGCAACAAACGTCAGCTTATTCACAGATGCAGGAAATCTCAGCCGTGGGTCAAAACTCTTCCAAGATGTACCACAGTGAGGATATTTAGAGCTGCAGTCCAGTTTCCAACACGTTCAACACAGAACGACAATCTCACATGGGAAAACTAAAATCTGTGAAATGCCACAGAGTGTTATTCCAGATTATTAACTAGTGTGTAGTCAGCTACAGTTTGAGATGGTTAATTTCAGCTTCTCTCCTGATGCATCACAGTTTCTGATCCCAGGGTTTTCCTAACTTCTCATAAGCTCCCATTCTTTCCTTCTATCCAGCCCCCTTTAATCCCAAAATACTCCCCTTAGCATCACCCGCCCCGCTCCCCCTCCCCCTCCTCAGTGACAGACTGTAGCTCATTTGCTGATGACGCTTCCTCCCCAGGTCTCATGTTTGGTTCCTGGTTTCAGATGGGTTATGGTCACCTCCACTGCCTGGACTTTCTCCAGTTTGGGAGGGATGGAACAGATCTTGTAGCTCACCTCGTCTCCCTCCACTGGCACGTACTCGCCCTCGATGCTGGATGGAGACAAAAAGGTTTGAATGTTAACAAAACCAGGAGAATTAAATCCATCTGTCGGGGTTACTTTAAAGAAAACAGACAAGTTTCTGTTGACTGAAATGGGACTCAGGCATTCACGCCAACAGAACTAGAGATATTAAGAAAACCTGCGACGTGCGATAACACAGCTTATATTGCAACCATGATATGACTTGTGCTTAAAAAAACAACCACCAAAACAACCTAATAATTTCCATTTCAGTTATTTTTAAAATATAAAGAGATCCATCCAATTGGCCAAATACATGAAGGGCTCCATTTGACTGGTGAAATACTTCAAGCTTCCATCTGAGTGACAACACTCGTATGCAAACCTTTGAGCCAACCGTTTTTTTTTTTTTTTTTTGCAGTTTATGCAGTTTTTTGCGGTATGCATATTGCACAGGCTGTTTTCGCGATGACGATAAATTTTTTGACATAAAGGCTGTGTCCAAAACGACAGGCCGGGTCCTCCGGAGGACCCAGACTACCCGGTCGAGGTGGGCCGGGTCCTTGGTAGACCGGGGGGAAAAAAAAAAAAAGAGTCTGTGAATTTGGACGGTCTAGCCTCCCCTCCTTACCCGGGCGTAGGTCATGTCACCTAGCAACTGTGACGACGCTAAACAGAAGCAAAAATTGATCAAAATTAGCAAAATATCAATATATTAGCATTATTAATTCCACAAAACAATAAAATTAACTTAAAAGGTAACATTTGAAGAACTAATTGACCCACCGTTGGTGCATGTTTATTTCGTGTTTTTATGACAAAAATACTACACTGCTCAAAAAAATAAAGGGAACACTTAAAC